AACCCAGCACTTGCTCCCAAGCCCGGCTTTACTTCTACTGCCTTCTCTTGAGATTCAGAGACTACAGACTTTTACAGTTCAATAGGAAGTAGGTATCAAATGTCTCAAGGCCACTGAATTGACAATACTTTGGAGAATGAGACTTAGGTACAATTGAAGATCATCACTCTCATCTCATTTTAGGTATCAGCTGCTTTAGCCATTTTGTTTATTTTGTTGATTTTTTTAGAAGAAATGAGGGTACATTAATTCATTTTTTCAAATTATTCAAGTACATTTGGAAAACACTTTTTCTTCACTTTTTTTAAATTTTATTGATGGGAAGAGGAGAATGTTACAGTACTTTCACTCACTGGAGCTGTATAATGGTTTAAGGGGGCACTAGACTTCCTTTAGACAATTTCCTTGTTGCTGCCATTAAGCAATGAAATGTTAAGCACAGCATTTGAAATAATTGCAAGAAAAGTGTGCATGAATTGGATTCCTATATTTTCATCCCTGGATGCCTTACTGCCTTCATATTTGAAAACAGTGTTCTGAGAGGGTCTGATGCAACCTCTAGAATTATTTCAGACACTCTGTTTCCATGAGCTTCCATAGATCTTCATATTTATCTTTCCTGTATCACTGAAAGGTGTATGCAATTTTAATCAGAGGAGCTAATGATGAACTTAGGGGGGTTTATTGTGGTTAAAAAGCATCCCATGCATCTGTTTCTCTCTCACGTGATGTTATGACTTAGGGGGTCTGCCATCTGTTTGCTTCAAAGGGGAACTAAGCATAAATATATATGTAAACAGCTTTACATTTGAGAATCCCAAAATGACTTTATTTGACCAGATATCTTTTTGGTCCTTTACAAGTTTGGTTTCTACTCTGGATTAATTTTAGTTTTCCTAAACGTTGGCTGCTACATAAAAGGACAAACCCATAAAAACATGCCAAATGTGGTTGGTGCTTGGGGAAATGTAGCAATCTTTGCCGCACTTAGAGAAAAACAAAAATTGCCCGTAGACACCAGAAATCTGCTGTGATTTCTCTTTACCACATCAAAGAACATGCAATTGGTATACGTCCCGAAATGCCATGGTCTCTGCAAAAACATGTTGCAGTACGTATTCGTCAGATACACAGAACTACAGATATTTTTTGCAGGGTTCACAAATGACACAAACACAGGGAGCAAACATTACATTCCATGTATTGCATTTCTTGCTTGCAAATGCATAGATGCAATGCTATTTTAGAAGAAGCTTTCATTAGGAGAATATTACCAATTTCTGAATCTGTGGTGTTGTCATTACTATGAAGGTTTGTATCATATCTTTAAAAAGGAGTAGAAAACTATTGTAAATAGATTCTTTCTGCTCCCTCCTCAAAAACATAAACAACATTATAATGTAACATATGTATAGCAATGTAAAAAGAAACTCAACATACACACGGATGTGGAGCAGAAGAAATACAGAATTAGGAGCCAAATACTAACTACACGGCCAAGAAGTACGCGTTGCGTATAACCACGCATTCAGGATCATGCACAGACACTCAGTGCAGCCGAACTGTCTATCACAATATGTGCTTACACCTTTGTTTCCACGTAATCTGCTTTCCTTTCCTGCACACATGTAGACAGACAGCATAAGGTGAAAAGCTCTTGTGAAAGGCACTGGATGAATCAGGGATCTGGTAGAGAAGCCCCGTGCACTCCCTGTGGGAAGATAGTTCTTCCCAGGGTGCTTCTGCCTGCCAGCTGGGGAACTGCAGAGAGTACGTGCCTCTCTTACCATTGAAAAAAATAGGGTTTCTCTTGCTTCAGCATAGCTCTATTTTGAGTAATGGTTTATACAAAATGCTGTCCTACACCTGACATGAAATAATTGATAGACATTAAGTATTTTTATGTAGAAGCAATAGTAGAGACTGAATACTGGGCCAAATTCACCCAATATCTTAGCTAGAACTCAGTTGATTTCAGTAGATTAACCCTTGCCTATGTTAAAGCTGAAGTTAGGTCCTTTCAGCCATACGTCAGGTGTGTACGCTAACGTACGAGTAAAAAGAAATGGGTATTAGAAAAAAATATGAACTGACTTTATCTCCAGTTTCTGGATTGATCAATAAAACACAGAGTGGCATTAGAGCAGTGGTTACACATTTTTGGTCTGTTGACCATGGCCAGCCCTCAGCATTACTCATGGGCCAGCAAGCACCTGCCATTCAGCTTTTAATTGCAAATGCACTATGGCCAGTTTGGTTCTGCCGTCCCATTGCAACGTCCTCCTTTTGCGATGGCGCCTGCAGGCTGCCGCCTGGTAACCAGTGCCCTGTTGAAGAAGCCACATACTTTCTCATCCTGAAATCCTGTGTATCCCTTCCCAGCGCCGGGACATCTGACAGCTTGGCTGAGTCTCAAGCCAGCAGGACAGGAGGACATCTAGGCTCACAGGCTGCACGCTGCCTTAGCTGCAGTTTGTTCTTTCAATCAGTCCTGCCTGGGCCACCCTTCCAGCTCCTTCCAGCTGTGCCAGGGGAGCAGGCTCAGGTGGGTGAGCTGCCGAGGGTCACGGTTCTTTTGCAGCTGGTGTTCATGGAGATTGAGGTGCTTCCTCAGTGGTTCTTTCGCTTGAGCTCTGCTTGACTTGGGGCCCATCCTACCTCTAGGATGGATTTTATTTTCTAAATAACGTGTTCCAGTTCAGTCAAAAGTCATGGCTGTCATGCAGGAATTTTGTCACAAAATTCTTTGGCCGTTTGCAAATATTAGACTAGATTATATAATAGTTGTTCTAGTTTCATAATCTATGAATCTGTACATACGTTCATCATTGTACTTCTTGAGAAGGCAGTGGAAGCTGCTTTTCTTCTGTTATATCTTCAATTTGTAATTGCGTCTTGCACTTAATCGTTACTGACTTAATACTAATGGCAAGCAAAGTGTATTTGATTGAAGATAAAGCCCAGAAAAAGCAACTGAGAATAAGGCAACTTGGAATGCCTGCAAACAGATTTGTTTTTTTTAACTTATTATTCATATTAGGTTAGTTTGCCTTATTTTTAGTTTACATCTACCTCCCTGAGTCAGCAGAACTGTGGGAGAACAGGTTGGATTTTCTTTTGATACATGCATTAATATTGCAACTATTCGTGAAAGGTTTACCTGGAGGCACCCATCAGTAACATTCAATTACAACTTAATTGCTCATACATCTATGTGTTTTGGTTAAGGTTACCAAAAGTAATATGTGAGAAAGTATGGTTTTCATTTTCCACAGTGTTGAATCCCTAAACGTCCAAGAGAAGACCTTGGTAGTCCTTAACACAGTCTTTCCACTTGCAAAGGGCGCTCACACTTCAGAAACTCAGCATGTATTCTTAGTTCCTTCTCAAGAGTTTCAATAGTGTTTTTCTCTTAAATGTGCCTTCAAACCAATGTCGGTGTTTCCTGCTTTGTAATTATTGTTTGCCAACATCAGGAGCAGGTTCCCAAAATAATCTTTCCTCATATGAATAGATCTTCTTCACGTGATTTGGTTCAGTGAAATCAGTTATCTGTTTTAAATACTGCCTCTGTGATAAAAGGAGATTACAGCGTCAGACCTCCCACAGAATTTGCCTACCAGCTTAATCGTTTGATAAGCACAGGCCCAGCTTGCTCTACCGAGTTTTGCCTGTGTAGCTGTGCTGGTTCAAGATCTCATATTTTCTTAGACCTTTGCTGATGGCAAAATCTTAGATGACAGTACAACTATTCTCTCTACCAAGAGAACAATGTTTTTGTCTATGATGTCATGTGGTAAGGGAGGCAGTGCAAATAAAAAAACGAAAAGGAAAAAGAAAAGAGTACGTCCTTCTATTAGCACATGTTGCATGCAGTTACCCTGCAGGCAAAGTTATAATGGCAGATGCGCTATGGCATAGATGGGTCTACATTTACCATTTAGAAAAATATTTCTGTCTGCCTTGCTGCTATGTAAAAAAACCCCAACCCAACAACCATTCAGAAAACAAGCAAACAATTATTTCCTATTACAGGCTGCGAACAAAAGAGAGGGTGCAGAGGTGCTTGTGCTTTTGGCCTGTTATTTCAGTGGTATGACTCCTGGTCCTGTACAAATCACCAACCACTTTCCTTTTAATCCATTGGAAACGTAAGCTATGAACGTTTATTTGCTGACTAGCAGCCAAGTTAAATGGTTACAGTAGCCTAAGAGACTATGAAGAGTGATAATAAAAAGGCAGCATCCAGATACACCTGATAATAAGCTGCTTCTAGCTGTCATGTAGGGTTTCTTCATCAAGTATCCCAGCCACAGAATAGCTTAGTGCTGCCTGCCACACTGTACTCCCCTCTCTGGGCTACTGTCTCATTAAATATACTCAGGGGTTAGAAAGACATTATTGGGTGCAAATGGAGCTGAGGCATTTGCTAGGGGACACCCCCCCACCCCTTACCTACTTTCTGTCTCTTAATTTCCTGAAGTTTACTGAGTGATATTCAGTTGTTTTGTAAATTTGTGAGAATGCAAGTAAGATACTGTTTAAACTTGTCATAGAATGAATGGCCTCTGATTTGCTAGGGTTATTGGATATGATGTTCTCGCATATGTTCATTTTTAGGAAGTGAATTTAATTACAATTGAATGCAGTGTCTTCATTCCCAGGAAATAGGACTTGCATTGGAAGAGTTTTTTAACATCTTCTGAAGTAAATATCACTAATGAGTCCTAATATTAGAATGATTTCTCCATTTATGACATGCAATAGGCTTTCCCTAGACACCACATATTAATAATACAGTAACAATGCGGCATTTGGACTGCTTAAATGAAAGTAAGTTCTCCCTGCTGACACCAGGTGTAAGATGCTTATGTCATCAAAGATAACCACAAAGTGTGAGCACCATAGAAATAATTTTCTATTCCTGTCTATTAAAGCTCTAGGAATTGGAAGAGTTATCAGTTCAAACGCTGTATAAACCACCTTGCAGTTAACAGGGAATGGCAACAAAAATAATCAAAGTTGTGGACCAGCTTCCATACAAGGAACAAATAAACAAGGTAAAGCCCTTCAGCCTGGAAAACGTGACTGAAGGGAAAAAAGAGAGAGGACTATGAAATCATGAGAGGCGGGGAATAGGTGGCTATGGACGAATTTACTGAAGCTTCAAATACAAGAATATCAAATAATACAAAGAGGAGCAGGTGCTGAACAAACAAAATGAGATAATTCATCACTGAACTTGCGTGTAGGCTATACAGCACCCTGCTACAGGATGATGCAGATCTCGGAAGCCTACCTTGGTCCAAAATGCGAGGCTAGTTTGACTTGCTTGACTAACCGCAAAATAGAAATGCCTAGAAAATAACGAAGGTGCAGATGAAAGGAAAAATCTGTCAGAGAAGGACAGAAGTACATTTGCACAAAGTCTTTGTCTAACCATCTGATTATTGGCAAAACTACAGCGAACTTCTAGAAGTACTTTAATGGATTAACCAAAATTAAAAAGCTGCTATATAAATTACTTGCTCTCTTCTCCCAATTCTCGTCATCACTGACAAGAAACTGGAAAGAATACAAGTAATTATATAAAAACTGAAAGAGGTTTGATAAATTATTTCTGTTTTTTAATAATTTCTTGAAATATTTTATCTTATGCTACGGTATACAACCCAAAAGCTCTCATCTTATTTTACTCCTAAGATGTTTTTGTTAAGCTCAGCAACATTTTTTCTAGGCCAGATAAAATGAAATAGTATTGTTTACTCCTGGGGAAGCTATTGCTGTCTTTCCCTTGATCTGCCAGCACATGGTATTTATGCATTTCTCTGTGTGGCTTTGATAGAATATTGCTGATTTTAATCTACTGTATTTAGTGTATTTTCATATCCAGTGACTGAGAGATCACAGAGGAATGGGAATATTGACAGGTCTGGTTCTAAGCCCTTGGCCATAAAGCAACCTTTAATGATGAGCATTTACAAAAGCTGGACCGATGGGAAGCTAATAAAGGTTGTTCTCCATTGAGCAAAGATCGAAAGAAAAATCTTGGTGTTGCAAAGGCGTTTACATGGATAAAAAGCACTGCTGTGTTTGCCTGGGGGGGAAAAAAATCTTCCTGCAAACCAGGCCTATTTTCTTCAAATAATCTCCAAGGAAACAGCCTCTGCCAAGCTAGGACCTGATTACCAGTTGCAGGCCTCAGACCATAGCCATTATTGTTTTAACATTTCTGCCTTCCTCTTTATCCCAGCGGGAACCAGGCTGTATGGGCTGCCATGTAACTTGACCTTGCTTGGAGATAAAAAGACAGGTTAGCACACAGCAATTGCAAAGCCAGAAGCAAAAAGACAGTATTTAGGAAATAAGGGAAGGAGCTGGCACGGTATGATTATGTGTAATGTTCTACACTGTGCAGCATGTGTGGCCCGATGAACAGTTCCCGTCCACGAAACCCAGACAGAAACTTGGACTTGGTCATAGTTTCTCCATTTTTAACCCTGTCTCTGCAGAGATGCTGTGATTTTCATCACTAACATACTAACGATGATGATTTCCTGCAATGTTTAAAATTATGAAAAAAAGGGAAAGAAAAATGGAAGGAGAAAAAAAAGAAATCTGCATAAAATTTCAGTGCTTTCAGTAAACAAAATGACTAGTAAATCAGCAAAAAGAGCTGGATATCAATCTTTAAGCCTTTGTCGCTGTTTTACTCCTGTCCTCTGAGCTTTCCATCCAACAAGCCAGTGAGCCCAGAGGTCAGCAGTAGTTAGGCATGACATGTTTGAAAATGTATCAGGGATGCTAAAGAAAATAAATGCTCAGTGATTAAGCATTCAGCATCTAAAAGCTGGGAAAAAAGTGTAAAGGGGAAGGGAGATTCTGTTATGATCACCCATGGGTGCTCAAACTGGTATGACAACTGTACATCACATAAGTGGTCACTGTCAAAACTCAACCAAGCCGCTGCTACAAGGTCATGAGGTCCCAGCTAAATGACGGTGGAGGCAAAGTGAGGGATAGATTTCCTTCGGCTTATCTCAGCTACCACCTCATCTCACAAAAACTAAGCAAACTGAGACTCAGCTCATGGTAGTTTGCTGTTTCTATGATTTCATAAAGATTTCAAGCCAAGAGCAGTAGAAGCGTGTTTTTTCGTATCAGGCCATATGGTAGATAATAAATATCTGAGGTTCTGATCGCTGATAACTTCCTACATAGGCGTGGACACAACAGAAATGCGGTTTCTGTAATCAGGTTTCCTGATGGATAATGCCATGTCATTCTTCACACATCCTCAGTCTCTTGTATCTTTAGGTTATAACCTCTTCAGAGCAAGTATCCTTGTGGTGGTCTGATCACAGCTAGAGCATTTTAGTACTACTACAGTATGCGTCAGACCAGAGAAAGGAGTTGCAGCTCAGTTAGCTCTAGTTAGGTGGGACTTCGGGTTGCAGTCTTGGCTTTATTTTGAATGGCTCCTCAAAGTGATACACACAAAATAAAAGACACGAAAACCAAGCTGTAGTTTCAATCATCTATACTGATGTCTTGTCAGCTGGATGAACCGGTGCGTGTGAAGAGGTGGCCCATTTGCAACCTTCTAAATCCCAGTGTGTTTTTCCAGCTATTATTTACGCATAGCAGAATACATTTTGCATCTCAGGCCTTTGGACTCATTGAGACCAAACCACGGATTAAGCTGCTTGCACCATCAAACCTGACTTTGCTCTGCAAAAGAAAAATTATGTACCTGCACCTACCTCAAAAGTGCTTGAGATTCTCAACAGATAGAGAATTAAGTTGCATGATGTGTTTGGAAAGCTTTATTTTCTTCATCATTTTACCTTGTGTACCTTGTGTGAATTGTGTATGCTCAGGGGTGACCAAAAAGCAAAAATCCCCAGGGAAAAAAAAACAGCATTAAGCCTGGTTACAGCATCCTGCCACAGTTAAATGGTTCTTTTTTTAACTACTTGATGGAAAAAAATTTACTTTGTGTTTTTCCCCTTCCAGACTCTGACAGCACCTGCTCCATTTGCAGATGAAACAAGCTGTCAGTGCCAAGCCCCCCATGAGAAGCTAACCATTGCACAAGCCCGGCTGGGAACACCAGGTATGTGTAGAGAGGAACATCAGCAGGACCATGGGTGCTGGGTCCATGGGACCAAAGCACAGGCTCTCCCTTCGCTCATTTGTGCCTTCCATTTGGAAGCAGAAAGGCCAGCCTGGTATCTGCTGCTATCAGGTAATGGGGAAGAAACCAGTAACTAGAGGACCATTATTTTCTGCTAGAGAAACAGGAGAAAACGTTTCAAGCTAGAGTTTGATGGTTTTGTGGATGTCTGCATGTTGGTTGGAAGGAAGGCTTGCCAGCCCACTCCAACCAGCCCGAAAATCGTGTTGTATAGTGGCTACCTCCTGGATTCTCTTCCTGTACTGCCTCTATGCAAGAAAACCTCTCCTTTCACTGATGTTTTTGTTGATCACATCAGACCTTGAGTGGCCTTAAAGGCCATTTGTTTGCCCTTTGAAAAGAAACCATGCCTGATTTTGGAACTCTTTATCTGGACGTTTTTTCCAGACCTACCTTTGTGATTGGGCTGGGGAAACACGATGATTTCACATAGAGTTGCAAATATATACTTCAGCCCCACGAAATTCCAAGAGATTCTTTAAAGAAAGCCTTCGTATACTTATTTCACATATTTAAAATAAGCTGTTAAAGTACGTGCGCTTTATAGAGGTAAGCTGCAGCTTTCCAGTCAGCTCTGCAAGGAACAGTGTTCTCCCGTGGACCCTTGGATGTCCTGACAGCAGAGACATCTCTCTGTAGCACTGAAGCATAGTTCATGGAGGTTGGAGCTCTGTTGCTGTCATCTCCACTGTCCTTTTGCTTGGAGGTGGCACAGCTGTCACACGTGTCATTTGGTAAAGCAAGTCCTTTTTCTATCTGGAGGCTGCTGCTGAAGATGTCGTACAGAAAGCAAGAGTTGTAAGGATGATAGCAGGAGGATGGTGAGGAGAGGAAGTTACAGGCTCGTTAGAGAGCAGAGAAAAGCTTGGGGGAAGTACAAAAAAGGGAAGTGAAGGGTTTATGTGGAAGAGGTAAGCAATACGTCTTTACAGCAGTAAGCTGTGGAAAAAAGAAAGTCATAGACAAGGAGATGATAGGAAAAAATAAGGAAAAATTTGAAAAAAATCCAGAAGGCAGAACTGACTAGAAAGGCAGAGTGAAAAGAACAAGACATATGGTAGAAAGCCAAATGAGGCAGGAAGATGACATTTTTGCTAAATTAGAATACGGGGATGATATATGATAATAAATAGGCTAAGTCTGAGAGAAAACAGCAGAGCGTATAGAGAAGAACAAGGAACGAGCAGGATAAAATACTGTGAGTTCACCCACAGTGCATTTTTAACACCAGAACTGGTGTAAATCTCTGCAATCATCTTATCTGGGAACAAAAACCTGTCTGTCAGAATTAAGTGCAACTTGTTTTGGGTCTGAAAAATCACTGTCGTCTTTCTTTCTCCACAGTTGACAGACCTGTCAGAGTGTATGCAGATGGGATATTTGACCTCTTCCACTCTGGCCATGCTAGAGCCCTTATGCAAGCCAAAACTCTATTCCCGAATAGCTACTTATTAGTAGGAGGTAAGATCAGAGTTATTTATTGTGCTGGATTTTTGCTTCAGTATCAGAGAGTTATTGCTGTGCCTGCACCCCCAGCTGTTTATACACTGTGACTTTGAATGCTACTTTCACTCTGGGGGCTTTCTATAGGCGATTTGCCTTGAATTACGTCTTACAATTGCATCAATTAAAGTAAAAGTCAAATTCTGCCCTCAGCAGCACAGGCACAATTCCCATTCTGGTTAAAGTAGGTGCCTGCATGACTCTGAGCTTAGAATAGCTCCATATGAATAATTTACCTTTTTCAGTTATTCGCTCAAAATTGTTCAAAGATGGAGATGAGTGAATGAGATCAACCGCTCATTTATTTCTGGCTCCTCGGTCCCTCCGCCAGCCAGGCACAGCCCATGTCCCCTGGCTGCCAGGTCAGTACCGTGTGTGCAGACCCAGCCTTCAACATCAGCAGAGAAGCCAAATCCAGCCCGTTATCATTGGAGACCCAAATGTAGGTCATAATTTGAACGTAGTTTTCAGCTCGCGAGTGTCCCCAGGCAGGTTGCTTTCTTATCATTGTTTGTATTTTTTTTTACCATGGATATCTTCTTTTGCTGTGTGGCTGGCTAACAGCTGTTCAGCAGTTGGTATGTGCCCAAGGAGTCACTGGAGGGTGGCTGTGTCCTGCCTGACTGGCTGGGCAAGCCCTGCTCTTGTGAGGCCTCATAAACATGCATTTTGGTTCCAGTTTCCCTGCACCTTTGGGGTGGAGAAAAGCCTCACGTAAACATTTCACAGCAACCTTCAGCTGCTCAAATGCTTACAGCAGTGATGAGAAAGCGAATATGAATGCAACCTTCAGACACTTTGTCCCAAATCAGTTGAAGCCGGGGGGAGGGGGGGAGGGGGGAAAGACCCAACGTAGAGGAAAAGCAAAATCTCCTTATAAACACACTTTTTGGTTTTACTCTTAAGTTTATGAATTGTGGTAATTCCCATGGAAGGAAATTTCCTCTGCGAAGGAAAGGAGATATCCCTTTGCTATGAAGGAAACATTCAGGACTCTCTTTACTTGTGCTTTTAAAGGAGTGGGGGGTGTCCCAGATCAGGGAAGGCGCTCTGGGGCAAAAGCCTGGCTCCTCTGAAATTCGTGGCGTAGCTTCACTTTGCCCTTATTTTTGGAGTGAAGGACAAAGCAGCCAGCACTCATCAGCACCCCTTCCCAGCAAGGCACTCCTCATCTTGGCATGTTTAAAAAATGGGCACCTTTCCACACCCACATACAATTTGTGCTGCAAAAGCACTGGTGTCATGTGTCTTTGTGGGCTCCACAACCAACCCCTTTTATTTCTCGTTGTGAAGACAATTATTTGGAGCTAAGAAATTTTTTCAGTAGATACTTATACCTTCCCAAATCAGTCATTAGAGCAGGATAACAGAATAAAAAGGAAATAGAGAGATATTGTGTCTGCGCTGTACATGAACAAACAGTAATCAAAAAATGAAATCAAACCTTTTTTCAGAATTCAAGCAAAAATTACTATTTTCCAATAATTTTAGTAGACCCTTTCTTCCAGGAGAGAGTAGCTTTAAGATGACATAAAGGCTGTAAACAAATATAAATACAATCTCAGAAGGGATCTTTCTACTGAAAATGCTTTGATCTCCATTAAATTTCTTGTCAGCAGGCGTCAAAAAATGACATAATAGGATAGCGTAGCATTTCGCTAGCTGAAATTCATATGTATATTATTATCTGGCTTTGAATTTTGCACAAACTCCAGGGCTATCTAAGCCTTCCTACATTTTTCCTACTTTAAAGGTCCTTAACGACCATCACAGCAAGAACATCCATTTTAGATCTCAAAAAAGACGGCATCTTTGCCAGCGCCTTGCCTGATAGGTCGGTTTTCACATTAGAAAGAAGCAGCAGCTGTAGGGCCGCTCTCACACTTCCCTGCAGCACTAATAACATTGCATTTATCATTTATCAGGTGCACTTACTATTTGTCCTGGTGTCACAGACAAGTGAGATCCGAAGGCATAGGTTTGACCTGTGGTGAAGGACAACCACTATCAACCCAGCTATAAATGGGTATCACATTATTCCATGTGGCGTGTCAAATGACTATCGTAGCTATAGCACTGGGCAGAGGCACGATTGTGGGGACAGGCCACTGTGTTTCACACAACGTTATGTGGGTAGAAAGATAATACCTAACTTTTATAGTTCTCTGGTAACAGGGCTGTTGCCTCCCCTCATTTTAAAACCAATGTGACAAAGTATTGGTATATCCAGAGTTAAAGGTGCAGGATTTCTGGACTTGCTTATTCCACTAGAGCATACAGCTTTTCCCAGCCCCTCCCGTGGGGCTTCCTTCTGTGATTTCCCATTTGAACATGGCACAAGCCTTACTTCTCTTTCTAGGAAACCTGCTGACCTCAAAGCTAAACTCAAAGACAGATTCCTATAAAATCTGCCATGACTTGTTTTCCATCGCTGTTTATTTAGTGAGAAACTGTTCTGCTGTGATTTAGAGCTTTGTTGGCAAATTAATCATTTAGAGCATTGTTTATGTAAGAACAAAAAGCAGGAACAGGAGGCCCAGAGAGGCTGAGGGGTCTTTGGAAACTCAGCTGGACATGGCCCTGAGCAACCTGCTGTAGATGACCCTGCTCTGAGGAGGAGGGATGGATTGGGCAATGTCATAGAATCATAGAATCATAGAATCATAGAATGTTTTGGTCTGGAAGGGACCCCTAGAGGTCATCTAGTCCAAACCCCCTGCAGTGAGCAGGGACACCGCTAACTAGATCAGGTTGCTCAGAGCCCCGTCCAACCTGGCCTTGAATGTTTCCAGGGATGGGGCCTCCACTACCTCTCTGGGCAACCTGTTCCAGTGTTTTACCACCCTCATTGTAAAGAATTTCTGCCTTATATCTAGTCTAAACCATGTCCAGTGGTGCCTTCCCACCTCAACCATTTTGTGTTACACGACGTTTGTGAGGACTCTGTCATTGCTGAGACTGCACTTTTTGATTGTTTTTAAAGCATTGTCCATCTCTGCTGAAATTTCACAGCCCATGAAATCCCCACTGATGTGCATATAGTACAGCTTGAGATGTCCTACAATATCTCACTTGGGCTTTGGCTGCAGCTCCAGAAAGGGAAGGATGTCTCAGAAGTTTGTGGTTGTACCTGCCAACCCTGAGCAAAACTCATGGATGCCCTGGAGGACCCCAAAAATAGCCAAGCTGATAACTAAGTGCTTAATGAGATTACAGGAAATAACTGCTAGTCATGCTAATCCTACTGAGTGTAGAGCCATTTTGTTGATACTTCCATATTTTAGTTTGCAGTGATGATTTAACTCATAAATTCAAAGGCTTCACTGTGATGAATGAAACGGAGCGATATGAAGCTCTCAGACACTGTCGTTATGTGGACGAGGTCATCAGAGATGCACCCTGGACACTGACACCTGAGTTCCTTGAAAAACATAAGGTACATTTCTCCCCTTGTCCCTCCCTTTGCAGACTGACAGATGAGAATAAACAGCAAGCCTGTGAAATTCTATTAGCTGGAGCAAATTATTTAATTCAGTTAATTCCAGTCACTGAGATTAGGTACATGGCATTGCTTGCCTCCATCTTTGTCAGGAAATGTTATATTTGTCTTGCCTTTTTTTTCTCAGGATGCTGAGATGATTTCTGTAGTGGGATTTTTGAATGGCAAAATAACACTGAAGAATTATTCACAAATTGACTTTCAGGAAAGGAGATCATGAACCAGAAAAGTCATCATTTAGGTTTTCTACGGAGCGAGCCAGAGTGATATGTTAATGGCAGTGCTTCTGGAGACAAGCTTGCTGTTCTTTCGTAATTGATCATACAACACAGCAGTTGTAGGCCTAAATCTAGTGCAATATTCTAGGTGATGGCTTTAGGATGAGAATGTCAAAAGCAAGTCAGCTGAAGTCGAGAAAAGAGATGATCCTCCACAACGACCCCCCACTGAACCAAAATTCAGTGATGGTGGCATGTGATTCTTCTTCTGTTCACTGGCAGATTGACTTTGTAGCCCATGATGACATCCCGTACTCCTCCGCTGGCTCGGATGATGTATACAAACACATAAAGGAGGCAGGTAAGGGCAACTTTACATTTTTAGCACCTTCCTTTTCAGCCTCAGCTCAAATTCTTTTACTGCCTTTTGACTGCAAATGCCGGGAGAGAAGAAGTAGAGATAATACCACGTTCTTTTACACCCTAATAGCAGGTACTGCTGACTTCAGCAGAAGGGTTCACTTTGTAAAACCACAAAGGATGTCCTTGGCTGAATTCCTGCCATAACCCCCAGGAAACCATTCAGGTCTGTCACAGAAGAGTCACATCTGGTTTTTTTAAACAATTTCAGGGTGCTCAACTAAGAGCTCTGAACCAATGAAAATGCATTCAGTTCCCACAACAGCCCAGCCAACTTCAGTGGTTTGTTGATAACTGCAAACTGATGACTCCTTGACACAGCCCAGTCCTGAATACAGGCAAGCACAGGCAGCCTTCAGGAGTCAGTAGGATCCACTTCTGATTTGCACTGAGGGGTTTTGTTACTACACTGGCAGAGGGTTTAAATCAGTACCAGAGTGATTCACTTGCTGTGACTATTTAGCAGTTTGGTTGACTACCATATTACATTGAACATGACCATGCTGAATTCATCAGGAGTTTGTATCTCTTCAGTTCAAGGAAGCTGAATTAAATCTGAGGAGACAATATTAAGCCACTGTTTACCAGCAGCAGCTGTCCTAACAGACTGAACAGCATGGGAGGAGGAACTGATCATACCTGTCTTCGCCTGCTACCTGGAGGTGCTGGCCTGAACACTGGTGAATCCATCCTCTTTCTGGTCTACATAAATGTGTATATTGGAGGCATAAAAAAATTCCAGATCAAATCTGCCTGATGGTAATTTGTCATGCAAAGTGACCTTCTCAAGCTATATGATGACAACAGTAGACCAGGTATTGACCTGAGCTGAAAGAATAAGCTTTTTATAGCAGCAGTTCTTGATCTTTTTCCGCTTGCAAACCTCACTGTGGTGTCAGACTCACAACCCTCCTTTGGGAACTGCTGTTTTACAGTTTCAGAGCCAGCACCAGCTTACTTCACTAGGCAACGGAACAAAGGTACCTCTAGTAAGGACAGGCCACCAAGGGACATACAGCATACATGCTGGGCAGGCAGCTACGTTGCCTTTCTTCTGTAAGGTGCTGAGTGCACAGGACAACATGACAGGAGCCCTTGGTGTCACTGCATCGTTACCAGACTGAGCTGGAGAGTGCCCAAACCTGGAACACCCTTCTCTGCTGTTGTTGGGCATGGGTGCAGTGCGCGTGTGTCCTGATGAGAAATTTAAACTTTGTTTGCACAATAGAGAAGAACTTACAGCTTCAGGGACTTGTGGTCTGTCCCATGTCTGTCACTATGAGATGCTGGAGAAGTGACTTCAGTCTTGTGTGTCTGAATTTTGTGACATACAAACTCGGAATGAAGTTACCTTATTTGTGAAAAGGTTGGAGATCTAGTGCTGTAGTAGTCCTAATGCTCCAGAACAGCACTATTACAATAGTGAATTTCCCCAAGGTGTTTTGTTTTAAATAGACCAATGCTGTGGACACACTTGTGCTTTTTCCTTAGTCCCAGGGCTTCCGTTTTCCCACATCAAGTTGTTGGGGAGCAGAAAAGCAGATGGGAACTGCGGAGCTCGTCCTGTAGGTTCCCATGCGCTCCCATTTCCCCACGACCTTCGGTGGGTGGGACGGCATATGGACAACGGTGAGCTGGGTGATGGTGTGCTGACTAAACCTCTGCACATCTGTGAACAGTTAGTTTGGAAAACATGAAACAGTCCAACACATGAAGCATATGAAAGAAAAAATCAGTGACTAAAGGCAATGTTGTCATACATGGGCTTGAAAACAATTCCACTTTTGGCTTAGCAAAGGTAGAGCTTGGATTTGTTCATATACTCTTGTAGCTCCTATAAAGGCTTCTGGCTCAAAGTGGTTTTCACTGCTTCCAAAAATAGTTTCCTGAGTGACTGCTGCAAGCCTGAAAAGCACGATCAGGGAAACCTCTCTGCTCATGATTAAAATAAGCTATTTTTCAGCAGAGTATTAATTAGAGATCAGAAAGAAAAAAATATGCCATACCATTTAGTCACAAGAGGCTGCTAAGCTTCTTGATTCCTTCTCCAGATCTTTTTCTAAGCCTGTGAAATTAGCTAGCAATGCCTGCCTGCTTCAAGTGAACGTGTGAGGATTAATTTGCCAGTAGCTATGCCACCCTTTTAAGACAAAGCACTACTTTGGTTTGCAAAACCATTTCTAGTCTCATATTACAGCTCTCTCTTCAGCAGCTTGATGTTGCAATTACATATAAGTGATAGTAGTAATTTTTTGCAGCCCTAACTACTAAATCCAGGTGGGCTAGCTCTCTGCTATCATTGCCTTCGTGACTTTCTTTAACAGTTCAAGCGATCCTGTCTTGGTGAGGAGCAATTAAAAAGCAATACATTCCTCAGGTGTGTTGAGGAAAATGCAAGCGGTATTAATAAATGGCCAGTTTTTTTAGGGACGGATCTGTCGGAGCAGGGAGAGTGGTTTTACAGCCACTGACATGGCCAGGTGGACATGAAATGGGGGCTACGGAGACCGATACCCTCAGTCCCCACGGTATATCTGTGTTTGTTCACACCACCGTTAAGCTTCATCTTCCTCTTACAAGCTACCGGCACCTCCAGGGTGTTTTCCAGTTATTGTAACACATCTTTTACCTGAAGGCGCTTCCTGGCTTCGGCCAAGGCCAGGGGCTGGTTTGTTTTACTCAGCAGAACAAAGCCCATCAGGTGGTGCAGTGCGGGAGGGGAGGGGAGAGTGGAAACACACAGGAGAGCGGCAAAGGGCCTTTCAATAGCGGAAGCCAGTCCCCCACTCCTTTATGTAGCATTAAATAAGGGCTACACTTATAGAAAGAACTGCTCAGTGAATTGTCACAACTGAGAGGTTTAGCCTTCCTGGCTTGGGAGCCCCTGCCAGTCTAATAGCTTCCACATTACAGCTGACGCTGTGAAGAGGGCAAGTTTTACTCTTTCTGAAGATTTGGGGAAAAATGACCGGCACAGCAACCAAGTGCTTTCCCTAAGCTCACACAGGAACAACAGGAAAGAAGTAGGAATAAGACAGGCAGAATTGTGAGTCTCTCACCTTTGGTCAGGCATTTTTGTGTTCATCCTCAGCTACCTGCCGCAGTGCCTGGTCCTGCTGGGCTTTCTCAGCAGGCTTTCTTTTCCCATTTTGCTCAGGAATGTTCGTACCGACGCAGAGAACTGAAGGTATCTCAACATCAGATATCATCACAAGGATCGTCCGGGACTATGACGTGTATGCCCGGCGCAATCTCCAACGAGGCTACACTGCCAAAGAGCTGAATGTTAGTTTTATAAATGTAAGTACGCCGATCTGCATTTGCTTCTGAAACACTCTCTCCTAGGGCCCCGAATGCAGAGTAAAGGTTAAGAAAGGGTATCATCCTCCTGCTGCTTTTAAAATAGCTGGGAAGAACTGAATTTAAAAGAAACTGGTAAGCTGAGGGTAGTTTTAATTGCTCCTATTAATTAGCAACTTCATTTCCATCCTGTGCTTTCATGCTTGTGACAAAGCTGCTGCTCCCCTTTCCTCCTTGAGCTGTAGGTGACTTTGATGACGCACTAGAAAGGAGCCCCCCCCCTCACTCCTCCAGGCTGCTCAGCCACTCACCCCATTGATTTCTTTTATTCCCATTGTGAGAAGGTAGCACAGCGAGTGAAGATTTTGATATCCAAACTTTCTTTACCATGAGACAGGATAAAAACAAACAAACAAAAAAAGCCCCCAACCACTGAGCAGCAAGATTACTAGAGGAAGCTAAAAGGGTTTTTAAGACAGTGAAGTGAGTTAGGAAGCTGGTATGTAAATGATGCTGATCAGAAGCCACAACAGGTCAGGCAAGAGGGGCATTTGAAAGTAAGGCCCCAATTATTCAGCTTCCACGTACAGCTCTGCACCTTACCCTCCAGTGAGGAGTAAACACTTAACAGAAATGAAAGTTTACTTTCCTTCATTTTCTGTTTCAAGTCTTAAGGCCTCAAGATAGCCCACATTACCAAAATCTTCCCTGTGGTTGGACTGGCTCACAGGAAGACTTCCCCCTGCTTCCCTGGAGCTGGGAAACCCCCTTGTGAAGGACTGAATTGTGTAATTTTTTGAGGGTTTTGTTTACTTGTTTCTTATTTTGAAGTCTGGCAGATAAATCACAGGTCACAGAGCATAAGTATTTATTTCACTGTGCTTTTTTTTTCCAGTCGTCTACACCTCTAAAAAATCCTATTTGTAAGTAAGTACTCCACCCAGAAGGATCACTATTGCAAATATCCGTTAAATTAAGGCATGCTGGATGCCTTGTGGGTTCTCAAATTTGTTCTTCAGTGGCTCTGAGGTTAAGGTAGTGTTGCATAAGGTATGCTTCCCCCAGTCTCAGACACTGATGTATCCTGAAGTCCCTCCTGGCGTTTGGTTATTTAGCTTATAGTAATTCAAATGCAGAAATACTAATTTGCACCAGAGGCTGTTTGTGTTTCAAAATAAAAGCAGCCAGGATTTTGCCAAGGCAGAAAAGCGCTGGTTTCCTTGTTAAAGAAAGACTTGGTCACCTATTAGGTGCAAAGTGAGTTCGGTTTCTTTGGACCTTAAGGATTTAGTTTGGCCTTGTGAGCTGTAAAGACGGTTCTTCTAGTGATTCATGAGCTAGAATAAAACCCACCTCAGCACTAGACAGTATTTGTTTTAAAAGTAAATTTAAGTGCCCATTAAATGAAGCTCACAGGAAATTAAAAGCCTGCAGCCATCTGTGCTTCTACAGGGACGTTCAAGAGCACAGTGTTAGTTTTGCTGTGTGTCCTGTACGTTTGAGGAGCACAGAAGCATTTCAGGACAAAAGCCCTTTAATCCAGAAGTATTTTAGAAGCTTTGCCCGATGCTAGCCCCCTGACATTATTTTCTCTGTCCCTCTCTTTTTCTGCGTGCATTAGCAATTAGGAGTTTGCTCTCTTTTCTATCAAGTCTGCTGGCCACAAGCCGCTGGCCTATGCACATCTTTCTGTTGCAGCCAGAAGCTCCTGTATGAGCCAGGCTTGGGGGTGAAGAGAATTTTCCTGCTGCTCTGCAGAAACCTGACCAAAGAGACATTTTGGTCCAAGTTACCATCCAGGCTGGCAAGTCAGCAGTGGGCTGTGTTTGCTAGGAAACCCTGGGAGATTTGCATTTTGCTTAAGGTTGAGCTGTTAATTTCTCACTTGTATCCTTCACAAGATTCATATAATTTTTGAAAGTGCACTCAGTTTGAAAATAGGGTAAGATTCATGCAGTGAATTAAACACAGTAATCACACAAGACGCTCTTTTCAAATACGTACCTTCTGCACTTCATTCCACAAATGTTAAATTTGCATTTATAAAAATAATGTGGGAATAGTTAACCAAGGCCATATGTATTAGGATACATTAATGCAATTTTTTTCTTCTTCTCAGCTGTCAGTGGCTAATTATTTCCAAGTCCCTATATATTAATCTCTGTCCACACTTTTAAAACAGGAGAAGAAATACCGCTTTCAAAACCAAGTGGACAAAATGAAAGAAAAAGTCAAGAATGTGGAGGAAAAATCAAAAGAATTTGTTTACAAGGTGGAAGAGAAGAGCCATGACCTCATTCAGAAATGGGAAGAAAAGTCCAGGGAATTTATTGGCAACTTTTTAGAACTGTTTGGACCTGACGGAGCCTGGGTAGGTATTCTGCCATCCCAGGAAGTCTGAGTGGTTTTTATTTATCTTCTGTAATGCAGATCAAGAGTAGACTCTTTTGCTGCAGTCTTTGTTTTGAAAGCCAGCACAGTAGGATAACGCCAGACCTGCTTGCTGAATCCAATAACGCATGCCAATACTGCAGCGGGAGGATTTGCCACTTCTGGATGTTGCTTCTTTGGGATAATTTCTGTCTTTTGTGGAAGTGCAATGCTGAATGTGATACTGCATTCAGTAGAGCTGCATAACAGCAACACGCAAGCAAACAGGCTAATAGAGTCTATTCTCCCCATTAGCACACAGTCATCAGGGAGAAACTATACACTGGAGGTGGCAAGGGAAACAGGGACACTGAAAAGTTTTTCAATAGTTGTTTTCATGCTCTGTACTCAGCAGTAGAAGATGACAATTTTCTAACTTAATAACTACTGATTTCAAGTTCTAAGAAAGGATTTTACATGTTGAGTGGCCAGGCTCATCTCACTGACTGTGGGGAAGGCTCAGGTGGAACTGAAGCCCTTTTGAAGCTCTCCTCAGCACGTGCTGGCTCCACAGAGCCCATTTACCAAAGGTTCCCAGGTGCCTTGGAAAAGCAGTTGAGAGTCTGTAACAGCGTCCTTCTGGGGAGAAACCCCATGGCCTTACCTGCTCAAACCGAAGTCATGCACTGAGTGGGTGGTGAGTTGGTGACACTTCAGAGCCCCAAAAGAGTCCCAGCCCCCATCTTCCAGTTTTGATAGCTTGCCAAACCTTGAGAAACTTTGTTTTCTTGTACTACTTCCCTTCGCTACTTGAAACCAACAGCAAAGCTTGTTTTGAATGTAAAAGTTACCATTTGTTTGAACAGACCTTAGACCTTCCCATTGGGAGTCAGCCCTTTTCCAAGGAGCTCTCTGCGCAGCTGTGTTCTGGTGAAAGCCCAGGCCCCAGCCAGACCCTTCCGTACAGGCACCATCTCAGATGTGCTGCTCTAGTTGCAAGCTCCAAGTGAGGCTTTCGCTCGGGCCAAGGAAATGTGAGCAAGCAGAGAGGAGAGCAGCAAGCAGCAGAGGGTGAATCGAGGGGAGCAGAGTAAGAGCTAGACAAATAATCCTGCAGAACAGCAGGATCCCCCAGAGGCACATGTTCAGACCGTGGTGCACAGACAGTCGGGCAGCTCCCTCCTCACTTGAAAGCAAACCCTTTGCAAGAGGCTTGTGCAAAGCTTTAACTGCTCATGGATTACAGTCTGAGGCAAAATATCAATAGAGGCCGCAAGCCAGAAGAAACATCTTAGGACTGGCATGAAGCAGATGCTATTGGAATATTTCTAAAGAGCCAACACACGCATGATGTTCTCTCACATCACTTTTATCAGTTCATGCCTGAACAACGAAAGGTACCTTCTATTGAAAGGACCTCAGCAGAGTTTTTGTTTATAAACAAACCCTCAGGAAGATTTACAGACCCTTGGTGATTTAAGCAGCTCACATCACAGCCGTGTCACAACTCAGTGCCACCAAAGCACATAGTACCTGCCTTTTACTGGAGTTCTCATCTTTTCTGTGCCATGACTTGCTGTGTTGATTACCACTCAGTTGAGAAAAGCCTAAAGTTAGGCTGTGAAGGCTTCAGAACTGCATCTTTATAGTCTCCTTACAGCTGCATCTGCCCCATGCAAAGGCAGGTGCTCTCTGAATAACACTGGTCCCAGCCATACAAACAAATAGCTTATTTAGCAGTTCATTCATTGACAGTATCCTTGTCCCTGGGGAGAGGAAGATGGTAAACTCGTCTGATGAAAAGCCCAGGTTTACCCGCATTGACCACATCCACATGAAGAGCACTTCTTCTCTAAGTTACTCTCCATAGAGCTTGGCAAGTGTTCCCCATGCGGGGTGGTCCTATGGCCGTAGGTGCTGAATAAATAAAACTAATGCTAATGGAGCAGTGAAACCCACAGGAGATGAGATGAGTTGGGCTGTGCAGAGAGAAGAAAAGAATTTCAAAGCCTCAAACCCATTCCCTGTCTCTACCCACTCAACACTGCACACTGATGGCATTTTTAAAACCCCTTTCCTGATAAAACATTTTACCAAATTCAGTTAGAGAAGAGCTGCTCTGCCAAGGTCTTTAGGGGGGTGGAGGTGGCCTCCTGTTTACCGAGTTAGTGTCCCAACCGAAGAGTAGGAAATCTGGTGCAACCACAGGGACCTTTGCTAAGAACAAGAGTGAAATCTCCTTGCAGTGCTGTAGGAAAAGCATCAGTGACAGCGAGCTGAGAGGTGTTGCGGCTTTTTTAAAAATCAGTTTGAGCCTTGCAACAGGAAAGACTTTTAAAATAATGATAACTTGCTATTAGTGTCAAAACTGTTATTAATTTGCCTTATCACTGTTAGTTAGATGTTGCTTTTAATGTTGACATTAAAAGTACAGGAATCGTTATGGGCATGCTAGATTCCTAGATCAGTAATTTGCATGCCATTAATATACTATTATTATTTCACAAATAATTATTATAATATGCTTTATGCTAGCATCAATTTTATAAAAGTAAGGGCCATGTAACCCACAAAAAAAATCTGTTTCTGAAAAAGGTCAAAATGTCAGTTTTGAAACGTCAAGATGTCTATAATTCATCGGCATTTTTTCCCACCTGTGCAATCCCCATACGGATTTTTTCTGTGAGAGGGTCACAGAGGGGTCAGAAACAACAATTAGCATGGCATGAAACTTTTGTCCTGACTTGAGAGAGGACCACCGCACAGCCCGGCACGGGGTCCCTAATGGCAGAGACGCCCCTTCCACGGACGGGGAAAGCAGCAGGGTTCATTCTACCTTCTCTCCAACACGGCTGCACTTCAGGTCAGCGGAGAGAAAGCAAGCCTCTCAGGGCAGGGTTTCCACTCCAACCTCCCTCTGGGAGGAGGCGAGGTGTCCCTCCAAAGGGCCCGTTTCCCTCGGGGCACAGAGCGAGTCGGGGGTGGCCAGGCTGGGAAATGGCTGCATCGCATTGGACAGCTCAGAGGAATCTTACAGGTTGCGACTGGAACCCAGGGCCAGCATTTGGGCCACACTGTGCGTCCACGATCAGCCTGGACCTGATCACGGCCTTGAAAGAATCAGCAGCTCAAAAGCAGTCTTCTGTAATGCCCAGCTGGTGCTTGTTTTCTAAAGCAAGGCAGTATCAACATGTAGGCAATAAAATTCAGAAATAGGCAAAAGTATTTTTGCCCAGTAGCAAGTTTGCCAAAAGCAAAGCATTGTCTCCCTAAACTGGTTGAACCAAGGCTTTGAAATTGTTTTCCCACCTCTGATAAAGGTCCAGAGCGCTGCCAGCCTTTTCTAACCCTCCTGCACTTCAAGGGAGCCATTAGCACTTGTTCTACTTCTTCAGCACTCAACGGCCTGAGGAGCAACCCCCACTAGGAAGACCTTGCCTGCCCCCATTAGGAAGACCTTGCCTGTGAAGGGCCTGGCTCACTCACCCTGCCAGAGCAGAGCTGGAGGGTTAGAGTCATTCTGGACGCAGGTGGATTCCACCACCACCTCCTCCTCCTGCAGCAGTTGTGGTTTTAGCCAGCAGCCTGGTGCCTAAAGCACTAATGCAAGAGGCAATTCGGACTGGATGGGCACTGACCTTGCTGAAGGTGAGGTGTGAGTGCACCAGCTTGCAAGTGTTCAAGCAACACACTCTTTGCTGAAGCAGGGACCTGGGTGCAGGTGTCCTGCAGCCTGGCTGAGGGCCTTAGCAGGAAGGTGGGGTTCTCCTTTCCATCCCTGGCCCATGTGGCCCACAGTACAGTCAAGTACCCCCTGCCATGTGGGATACCAGCCAAGCTGGGACACTTAGATTTCCCCCAGCACCAGTACAACATCAAGAACTCTTGGAATGTCACTGAGATTTTTGAAGTGACTGGTAAGGTGCCAGGGACAGGAGGGAGTCAAAGTGTTTTGCTTGGCCAGGAAAAAGATATTTCATATCAAACATTTTTTTTGTTGGGGGTTATCTTCAGCAAGAGGATGAAACAGGCTAAAGTCAAGCCAACAACACCTCAATTTCTGTGATCTCAGGAGAAATTTTGCACTCCTACCACTGAATTTCAACAGGCTCTGGGGCTTTGCCAGCCCTGGTGATATCCTCATGGCTCTCAGCAGCAGTAGCCCTCCCCCACCCGAATGCTTCCTGGCACCATTTATCAGGAGCAACCACCATCTGCTAACTGTTGAGATTTCGGGAAGTCTTGACTATTTTGGACCTAGGAATAGTGCAGGGGTAGGTTATGCACCGTGGGTCTTCATACATGAGAGCATGGCTAAGCCTGGCTCCAGGCAGGAACTGTTCTGTCATTCTGCAGTGCACCCACACCCGGGCTCGCAAACTAAGTTAATAAAGGCCCACGTGATAAAGATACAAATTGGGTGAGGGAGCTCACAGAGGAACAAGTTAAGTTTGGTATTTGTGCTCAATTGTTAACCTCCAGGATTAGCAAACACCAGAAACCTGATGGGAAAACCTAGCATTGGCCCATCTGCTGGCGGGGAATACTGAAATCTCAAAGAGGAGAAGGAGGAGCAAGATGGGCAACTGCATGCTCCCTGGCTGGGAGGAAGGTCATCACAGGGCAGACTCGCCGCAGGGGGGAGGAGGAACAAAATGAAAACTCAAGCTGAGAAAGTCTGTGGACGGCAGCTGCCCAAGCAGGCAAACCCAGAACACATTCTGCAGAGGTATTTTGCTCTCAGACCTGAGCAGCAACTTAACTTTGTCCGGGCTGGCTCTTCCATTCCAGCCAAGCATCGCCTGCGATCCGACTCCCAGCACTCCAGCCAGGGTTGAGACTTCTTGTTCCCCAGCCCCAGGAGGAGCAGCGAGGCACTCGCATTTGGTGTTTTCCACATGAAGCCTGCAGCAGCCGCGCAGTACATGCTAGATCTCCTGTAACCCAGCCCAACAGCCTAATGCAAGGCCACGCAGGAGCTCACATGTAGCAGCATTTGCCTTACTGCAGCAGATTGCTTGACTGAAACGGTGGTCTCTTCCACCTACCAGTGCTGGCCAGGCCTCCAATCAGCTTTACAAAGCAAAACCGACAATAAAGCCCAAAGCAGAATACAGAGCCTGCACTTGTTTCTCTTTCCAACAAAGACACCTGAATTCTGACATTTCTACCCCCCAATTTAAGGGTTTGGGTGGTGCCTGCTCCAGGTAGCTGGGGAAGTGGCTGCCAGTATTTGGCAGGAACCGTGCTGCCTCCCTTGAGAAGAGAAGGACAAAAAAAGGCTGGGCCAGCCAGGAAGCTCAGCAGGAGACGGGTGGTCTGACCTAGCACACTAAAAGGAAAAGGTCCTGGGAACAAGGAACTCTGTGACTTCAGGCAGAACACTCACTTTTTGAGACAGAGTGTATCCAACATGCACAAAAAAATCCAAATAGAGTTCCCCTTAGCTGGCTTAGGGCAATACACACAGTCTTCTCACACCAGGGGTGTCCTACCTAAGAAAAAAACCCTCATAATGTAAAAAATGGATTATTACGCACGCAGTAGAAGAGACAAAGGTGAAGTGTGGGCCAAACCGGCCACGCTTCAGGTCTGTACTCTGTCTCCCTGCTGCCTCCCAGGCGAGAGGCACAGTGCAGCGCAGCCCCCTGCCTGCCCACAGACGTACCTTTCCCTCTGTGCGTTACTCAAAGAGCATCTTTTCCCTTTGCTTTTGCAGAAGCAGATGTTCCAGGAACGAAGCGGACGAATGCTGCAGGCTTTTTCTCCTCGGCAGAGCCCAAACAGCAGTCCCACGCGGGGCCGATCTCCATCCCGTTCCCCATCTCCACCCTGGGTCTTCAATAAAGCCTCCCCTCCCTCTTCTCCAAAAGCTGCCTCTGCCTCCCTCAGCAGCATGAGCGAGGGAGACGAGGATGAAAAGTAAAGTAAAGATATATTTTTTTAACCATGAGACAGAAGAACAAGCTATGAACTCAACCGCTGGATGGGGAAAAGCATGAGGAACATCTGGGGTATCCCTGACAGGAGGGAACGTGCTCTGGGAGAAGATGCTGAAAAGGGACTGGAGCACAGCAAGTGAGATCTCAGGAAGAGCTTATCCCATCCCCTCCCTCGGGGTGCCTGGAGGCCGGGCCAGCAGCACTTGCCAGACACGCTACTGGGGACTGACAGAAAAACATCCACCTTTGTGCAAGCTCCTGTCCCTGCGTTGCTGCTTACAGCTGCTGCGGCCAGGCCGGGTCGGCGGGGACCTCTGCACCGAGCGGGGCTGGCGGGAGGAGCCCTATCAGCTCCCGATCCGGGCCTGGCACACAGGCACAGGACAGATGCAGCCCGTGGATGGAGAAGATGCAGTTGTACCGGACCGCGCTAACCGTGAGCTCTTCGGGCAGGTGAAGGAATGGCATTGCTGCAGCAAATACATTCAGAAACAGGAAATAAAATTTTACATTTTTTCTTTTTGAATGAAATCTGCCCCAGAGCCCAAACCATGCCAGTGAAATGGAGAGCACTCCAGCTGAGCTGGTAGAAATCCATTTAATATATTCAGGCTATTGAATGCTGCTTGTTGACCAAGCCTCTATAGGGGGTGTATGTAAAGAGTCAGGCTGTATTTGCTTTATGAAATCGCTCTCCGCGTTCCTAGTGCCTGAACAGCTACCTGATAACTTCTGTTTTCCTCCCTGGCTTTGCACTTCAGAGGCAAGAAAGTAAGCGGAGAGACAGCCCTAGCTGGAATGTGTTGTTGCAGCAAACAGATAGTTTGAAGACGGTGGTGATTTTTACTGGTGGATTCTAAAAAAAAAAAAAAACACGCACGGGATCCCAAGGTCTCGGGACGTGGCCTCCTAGGGAACCCTGCTGCTCCCTGCTACGCATCGCCAAGCGACGAGCACAACAGTGCTGCTGTCCTCACACGCTGCTCAGCCAGTTAAACAATTTCTCATCAAACTCTAAACAAGATGCGTTCCCAGACACCCTCCCCCCCCAGGGGTCCCGAGGCCATTCCTCTACCCTAACGTGGAGGAAACACTGAAAAAAACAGTGGAAGCCTTTTAAACAGGATTAGGCATGGGGATTTTCTTTTTCCATCCGTGACACCCGTACAGCCCCAAGCAGAGCCACAGGACAGGCAGCACGAGTGAAGCTTCCCCCTCCCCTCGATGCACCAGCTCATCTCCTTCCAGCTTGGCAAAGCCAGACGTCCGGCTCCACCATTCAGTCCCACAGCTGGCACCTGGCAAGGTGGCTGCAGGCTTGCAGGGTTTCCGAGCATGGGGGGACCCCCAGCACCTGAGGCTGCCCTTGCCCCACAGCTCAGAACGCCGCAGGCAGCGCCCAGCCCACATCGCCACGGTGGGGCTGCGAAGCAACGATGCAGTTTTGCTCCCAGGCTTGCCTGGCAAAGCCTGCCTCAGTGCACGGGCGCGTTCGAGGCGCTCCAGGCCAGCAGGGTGAAGGCTGCCGCCGCCTGCCTGTCCCACCGGCAGCCTGCCGGGCACAGAGCCCGGGCAGGGGGTCGCAGCAGCGAAATCGCCACTGTGCCACTGCTCCCCGGAGTTTCAAACCCATCGCGGACACGCAGCCCACTGTGGGCAGCACCAGTCGGCACTTTGCCGGTTCCCTGCACTGGCAGCACAGGAAACGCTGGGAGAGGGAGGGCTCTGAGCAGCTCTTGGAATAAAAAAGCTGGGAAGGAGCAAGATTCCCAAGTGCTCGAGCACATGGGGTGGCAGTCCCCCCACCCCTGGCTACCATCCTTACCTTGCCGAGTGACCTAGAAGGTAAACTCCTTTCACTCCTTCCCTTCCAGATACTTTTCCAGGCAGGTAAATTACAGACCCTTGTACCAGGCACCTAATTAGCCCCCACATCCTGTTCATGCCCTACAGTTTTCATCCCTCTGCCACCACTGGGTAACTGATTTTATTTTTGGGAGCCCTTTGCCAGGCACTTCTCTGACTACCACGAGACTGAGTACGTAGTACCTCGTGGCATGCTTTGCCCTACGGAGCCGAGCCAGTTCCTTCTTCGCAGAGCTGCAGAGAGTGGCGAGCAGGGCAGGGGGTGGACTGCTGCTTTCACTAGAACATGCAAAGGGAGAGCTGTAGCAAGTTCAGCTGCTGCCAGCCGAGCCCCCACAGTGCAATTAAGACCTTTCTCAGCCTTAGGCAACCTGTTACTGTAATTTCATACCTGGGATGCACTTCTTAGTTTTTCCGATCCTCTGCAAGTCTTAAGTCTTCCCATCACAAACCGCTCCTCCACCACGGGAACCATCTGCTCTCTACTGGTGCTGTTTATCCGACGAGCCACGTCCAAACGCAATGGAGGTGGGCAGGGTTTTGTTGTTCCTGGCTTTTACCATTTGGGTTTTTTTGTTTTGTTTCAATTTCATAGCGCTTACTGTTCAGCAGCCCTTGTTTAGTGGTTTGACTGGAAGACAGCACCACGACTTGTAAATAGGAACTGGAGAAAAACTCACCAGTGACCTCTTCTCAACAGAAGCTGTTTCTCAGAGTCACGGGTGGCTCCCCAGCGACAAAGCCATAGACTGTACCAGACGTCCTTTCGCATTTAGGTATCAATCAGCTGAAGCCTTTGCCCGGCTGGTACAGACACCAACATCCATGTGCTGTCTCCAGCAAACCAGAACCTCACTGTCTCTGGACATGTGGAGGGCAGTTTTGCACTTCTGAGTCATGGTTGGGTTTTATTTTTCATGAGCGTTGCTTTAATTCAGTCCTATTTATCAGCCAAGCTCCACATGAAAAATAAACAGCGTACAACAGATACTGCTGCCTCTCACCTTCATTTTATAGCACCTTTGGGCACACAAACACAACCCCCAGCGTAAGCCCCACTGCTAGCACAGTGCTTGTTACCCACCCCCCCCAGTACAAAGCCCCCATCCTTACACCCCCATAAATGCCACTGGAGCAGCCTCTCCAACCTGCCCTGAACCCCGCTGCTCGAGTTAGTGCTGCTGCTCTCTGCTCCCACAGGATCACCTCTCCCCTCACCTTCTCGCCGGTTTTTCTGGCTGCAAGGTGAAGGGGGGGAACGGCTGCCGCAGCTGGCGAGGGGCAGCAGCAGACACCGGCAAGTTTGAGACCTCCCTTCCCCTCTGCCCCCGCACAGTGGAATCGGGAGCCACTATTTTACTTCTAAGTGGAAGAAAGAGGCAGTGCTTCTGCAGCCCTCCGGTTCTGCTCTGGAAAACCGTCCCCAGCAGCAGCAGCTGTGATGCCCCTGTGCGTGCCAGCATGGTCTGCACCGCTGCCAGATTCAAGCAAAATTGCAGCAGCAAGCATCAGCCGCAGGGACAACTCCGGAGCCTGGACTTTGGACTTGACTCTTCCTCCAGCTAAGCCAGCCTGATGCCTGAATGTTCCTGCTGTGCTCCTTCCCTTTTGTTTCTGTAAGAAATTGCTGCTGCACCAGTTGTAGAAAAGAAATTTTTTTTTTTTAATTATTTATTTATTGTCAGTCCTGCCTCAGGCAGGGAGAAGCCGAAGGTATTTTTAACTGCAGAATAACACCAAATTTCAAAGTCATTCAGCATGGCAGAGAAACTATTTAAAGGCACAGAGTCCACACCAAAACACCCCCTGCTAATACAAGCTTCGTTACTTAAGATGGATTTGGGGCTGTTTTGAGCCCTGTCTTGCATCACTTGGGAGATACAAGACGTCCTCGTAGGCTCCTGGGACTGGGAAAGTCAGCCCGGCTGCAGTCCCACTTCTCTCTTGCCACCGAGCTGCCTCCGCAGCCCCATGGAGAGGAGCCACGTCCGACCGATGCCTCCCCACGGCCTCGCTGCCTTTTAGGTGCCCGCTCGCACGCACGTGCCCCCACGCAGCCGCCGCCAGCACTGCGGGAAAGGACGACGGGGACTCCACTTCACGCGGGCCTGATCTAAACCCGGGGACAACGCGAGCCCCCCGCCGCGTCGGGCCCTCCCAGGCCAGGTGACACAGCACAAGAGCTGCAGCACCCTGCGGTAGCCTCTCCCTCTACGGCAAAACGAGCACTGAGGTAGACTGGGAACAAGCTTTAAATCCAGTAGTCTGAACTGGAAAGCATTTTCAGTTTTTTTTAACGGGGATGTCACTGCAGCATAGAAACCCTGAAAACACCAGCAGAGAGCACGGCTGGAAACAGAAAGTCTCTGCTGTAAGCTCATACGAGTTCTATAGAAAACAGAGGGAGAATGTTTGATGTGTGGCTGCAGAAGCAGAGATGATTTTCTGCAGTGCAAGGCAGAGCTCTTGTGCCGGCACTTGCGAAACATCCTCAGTACGTACTTAAGTTTTAAATCCTTCCACCATTTAGGTGTGAAATAAAACATTGTGTAAGCTCACTCACAGGGATGATTTAACTCACAGGGCTCAAGAAAGATAAACATTTAAGAAAGCAGATCATAATTTTTTCTGTATATTTATTTCCAAATACCATAGGGACAGAATTCTCGAAAGAAAGAAAATATTTAGAATAGCGCAAAGCAGCACTGACAGCTGGAAGGCAGACAAAATTAATGACAAGGAAGAGGGGCTCCAAATACAGCCACGAGGAAACCAGATGCTTTTTCTTGAAGACAAATCCTGACTCCCTGAGGGGACCGGCTCAGAGCTAGGACCACTTATCAAGGGGGATGTGGCTGTAAAAAACCCCCAGCATTGCCCATTCTGATCTCTCCTGAACGCTGCCGCTGCTCTCCTTGCCCGCTTCCCTTTCCCTTTTACATCTAAAAGTCTTCCTGCCGGAACCGCTGCTATTCGCTTCCACCGTCTCTCCCCTGAAATAAAAGGCAGAGGCGCTGTTGGCCTGGCAGCCGGGCGGGCTTCACACCTTGCCCAGCCAGCGGCCACAGCCGCACGCTGGAAGAGTAACCAAGAGGCGACTGAGCCAGCCCTGGAGCCCAACAGCGGTGGCAGACCCCAGACCTCCTTCCTCACTCCAAAGCCTTCATTAAACAAGGTGAAGCTGTTTAAATTCCCCTCGGCTCACGGCTTTGCTGCTTCAACTGCAATCCTTGCTCTTCCACTCCGGAACCTTTGCCGAGGGAAGCTGCTGGCTGGGTCCCTGGCGCTGCGTCCCCACGAGCACATGCCCTGGGAAGCCGGGCCCTCGCCACGTACAGCCCAGCCCGAGGTCAGAGGGGATTCTTGTTTTGGCACAGGGCAAACCCCCTGGAGAACAAGAAGGTCCCCTGCGTCAAGACAAGGCCTACCAACCCAGCTCAGCAGAAAGGAAGGGTTTGACGCTACATCGAATT